ACCGGTTTTGGGAATGAGCACCCTATTTCTCTGATGGACCCTAGGTTGCATTTTCTTATTCGTAACTTACCTGTAATTCAATTCAATCAACATGTTTATAATAAATACGTATCTGTTAATATAATTATTTGTTTGTTTTTTTTTGACAAGCACTGGATTTCTCTTGGCAAAAAAAGATTTCCTATTGCAAGAAAGGTCAATTTATTAAATTAAATTATCACCATAGACTTTAGTATACTGCAATTTTTTTTTAAAAAAAAAAAATTACAAAAAATTTTATATAACAAAGATAATTACCGTAAACCACCGCATACGCTACCCTTTACGGTACTATCATTTTAAAAATTATCGTATAACCTATACATAACTTTTCAATTTTAAAAAACTTCCTATATTTTTTTATATGATATTTGATTGGCTAATCTCGATTAAAATATAATTTTTATGGTTATCGCAAAAAAAAAAAAAAAAACAATAATAATAATGAATTCAAAACTGAAATGCAATGCTTGTCACGAAGCAGATTTCAAATATAAATGTAGCAAGTGTACAACTCCAATGTATATAATTTTTCACTTCTGTGAGAAGAGAGAGGAGTATTCTTGGATCCCGAGAATTTTTAATAATTAGCTTCTTGTAATCAATTTCTAGTTGTTCGCTTGCATGTTACAAGGTTCATAAAGGTAAATAAATAACCTCGAGCTTTGGAATAGCAGTAATTTCTTGGAAAAAAGGTTTGACTAAAATATCACAAATTTAACACGTACATAGAACGTTCCTGCGAAAAAAATATCCAAGTAAAGAGTAAGTTTTTTAATTAGACGTTCGTTCGGGTATCTCTTTAATAAAACTCACCACCATGATTTCGCATCTTAATCAGACGATCCAAAAAATCAACAGATCACTTCAAAACAGTCGCAACAAAATATTTTAAAAGAAAATATCTTCAGTATATATTGTTCTGATAATGACAGCGCAGAGGATGAAGAAGATCTTGGAAGAAAAGAAAGTTATGGTGATAATATCGATAGCTTAGAACCTTCATCGTTTCGTGCTTCGCTTGTGCACAAAAATATTCACAAAGGAAATAATGATTTAGACGATTCTGAATCAGCGACATCCTTTTCATCTTTAGGAGTTTCCGATAGTACACAGGAAGATGTAAGAGAAATCATAGCCAAAAAAATATACGAAACGAGTTTCAATGAATTAGGTAATTTTTTGTGTAATTCATCATGCTTGCCTGAAAATGACGAATCTGGTGGAACACCCAACGAAACTTTCAACAACGGGAGTTTTTTATCAAATGTCGATCATTATATAATCGACAAAACATGTATCGATAACAATGCTCAAAGGCCAAAACACTCGACCATAACTTTTCAAAATAAATGGCCGTCGAAAAAACGAGGTTTTCGACGGAAGCCACCTGCGACGCACGATGTCGTTCAAGAACCACCAATGAAAATTTCGAAAAGTATAAAAAAAAGTGTAAAATCTAAAACAAAAAATATCCTACATCCCGACTTTCCGGTAGCGGAAGGTCGATACAAGGATCAATCATCAACAGTTAAATTTGAAGATTTATTGGCGACATTCCAAACTAATGATAAATCATCTATGAATGGGTCATCAAATATT